AAGCTGTGGCTGCCCCATCCCTGGAGGTGGTCAAGGCCAGGTTGGACGGGGCTTGGGGCAACCTGGGCTGGGGGGAGGTGGCCCTGCCCAGGGCAGGGTTGGGACTAGATGGCCTTTAAGCTCCCTTCCAACCCAAACCATTCTATGATTTCCCCTTCTCCATTGTCAGTTATTTCCACAAAGGTTTGCCTGGAAAACGGGTGTTTGAAGGACGGTAGACCCAGAGTTTCTCCTCTTGCGTTAACCTTGCTCATGCTTTCTCCCCCCCGCCCCGTAGAGCAATGCATGACGTTTCTCTACCAAAATAATTTTCCAGCCGACAAAAAAGCATCCAAACAAAACTTAAGCAGAAACAGGCATGTAAAAAAGGCTGTTTAACAACATTTGTCACAACTGTCTGACAGTGAAGGAGCTCTGAACCAAAATGGGCTCTTGCCTGACTCAGCCAGTGCTGCTGCTTTTGCATTTTTTTTCCACAAGGCTCAACGCCATCGACAACAAGGTGCCAGACGATATATCCAGACTCTTTTATTACTAAAAGGAATGAATCGTGTCCTTGCAGTGTCACAACACTTCAAACTCTCAGCAGTGCTCTCCCCTCTTAAGAGACACTGAATATGAGCAATAACACAGTTTCTGAAGGAGAATGTTTAACGAGCATCTACATCTTCTGTTTTTGTAGGATTTGGAAAATTGAACGAACAGAGAAGACCTGTAACAACGTGGTAAATTAAATGGAACACAACTTTAACGTTATGCAAAATGAAAACCATACTGCAGGCTCCCCGGTCATTTTACGCCTGCAGGTGAGGACCTCAGCCTTCAGGAATCCTCTCTCGGGGCTCTGTGCTGCTGACCCCCAGGAGCTCCGTGATTTAACTGCGGGAACAAGCTGCCTCTCGGGCTCTGCTCCGCTCTGTAGCTGCCATTTCCTGAAGAGGCTCCTTTCAAACAGCCACAGGGTCAACGCTTCCTTTCTCAAAGCATTCCATGCAAGTGTGTGTTTCCTGACACTTGTTTAGTGGACAATTAGTAACTTTAACTCACTTGTTTTCAGCCCGGTCCCTGGACTCTGGACCCTCAGCAGCCTAGGGGTAACGTTTCAGATATTCTCCAGCCTGAAGCGTTACAAATTGTTCTGTGGGCTGATGTGATTTCTCTCCCATGTGGATTCATGGCTGGCAGTAACTCAGAGCACCGCAGACTTTCCACACAGCTCCAACACACCCCGAACAGCTACAGGCACCAGTGAAAGCTGGGAAACAGCTCCGCCGACCATTTCAACGCGGTCTGCAGAAAATAGCCCCCCAACCTCTTCCCTTTGCCTGGGAGGGGGCTCAGGATGACTGTTTGACAGCCTCCTCCTCCTGCCACCATCCAGCACAGAGCTGGGAGATCCTGCCACGGCCCTGCAAGGGTGACAGCCAAGGGGGCCGCGAACCCCCCAGCTGGACGGGATTTTCTATATGGAGTGCATTACAGACCCCCTGATCTCTGCGCAGGGCCAACCCGCCAATGTCAGGTGTGTTTCCTCCACGTGACTTTCCTGATGCTTCATGAAACTCCTCCTGAGCACAAACCTTTTCCTGCAGAGGGGGCACTGGAAGAGCCCCTCTCCCGAGTGCTGGCGCTGGTGTTTTAGAAGATAATCCTTTCTCCTGTAGCTTTTGTCACACTCGGAACACTTGTATGGCCTCTCTCCGGTGTGAGTCATCTGGTGTCTGACAAGCCACGAATGGCAAACGAAGCTTTTCCCGCAGTCGCTGCAAATGTAGGACTTGCCCCGGCCCTGGCTCTGCTGCTGGCTTGCCGGGCTGCCCCTGGGCGCCAAGTGCTGCCTGCATCTGCTGCACGCCTCCGACTTGTCCTGCGGGTGATCCCAGCAGGGGCCGGCCAACAGGTTTTCTGCAGGGAAGTTCTCCTCGCTCTCCGCAGATGGCTGCTCATCTCCGACGAGGCCGTTATGGTCACGAAGCCTGGTTCCGCCCGCAGGGTTTTGTCCACGCTCAGTGCGAGTCGCCAGCTGCGGCCCCGCAGGCAGCCCCTCGCCGGAGGCAGAAGCAGCCCCCTGCCCGATGGGGTTCATTTCTTTCTCACCGGGAGCACACAGCTGTGAGTGCAGCAAATGGAACATCCTTTCGCTGAGACTCTTCTCACACGTAGGGCTTGGAAACATCTCCCCTTCTCGGGCTCCCTGGGGAGTCTGAAGATGTTCGTGCTGGCTGGAGTTTCTCTCACATTTGCTGTACGAGCATGGTCTCTTGCTGACACTGTTTTCCTGAGTGCTGAAGAAATCTAAGTGCTCGCCAAACCCTCGGTCGTACCGAGTGTCACCCACAAGGCTGTTCCCGGTGGTGTTTGTTTCTATCATTTCTGAATTCCACTGACTGTCCCATGTCGCTCCGGGGCTAGGATCCTTGGAAAACTTCTCTCCAGGTCTTCCTGGTACCTCTGAGTCACACACCGTGCTTTCAAAGCAATCTGCCGGAGGGTCCCTCTTCGTATTTTCACCGTGCACTGAAACAGATAGATTTCAGAGTCTTTCAATTAAGAAGTCTCTTAGGAGTATCCCTCCAAGTCTACAGCCGTGCCATGCTAATGGACAGAGAAAGTAAATAAGATGGGAGGTTTTAATACTAAGGGGGAGAGCAAATACCAGCGATCCACTGAAACAAAATCTCCAGGAAAAGAGAGTATCTTTTTGCAATTATTTTTTTAAAATCTACACCAAAAAAAAAATCACTAATGCAACGTCTTATCTTCACCCCCTCATTCAGATGTCTGAAGTCTGAGACCTAAGGTCCCTGACAGAGCAGACACGGTCACACAGAATCACAGAATTGTCTGGGTTGGAAGGGACCTTTAAGACCATCGAGTCCACCCGTTACCCCAGCCCTGCCCAGCCCACCACTAACCCACGTCCCTCAGCACCGCGGCTACACGGCTTTTAAATCCCTCCAGGGATGGCGACTCCACCACTGCCCTGGGCAGCCTGTGCCACTGCTTCACAACCCTCTCCGGGAAGAAATTTTCTCCAAATATCCATCCTAAACCTCCCCTGGTGCAACCTGAGGCCATTTCCCCTTGTGCCATCGCCGTTTCCTTGGGAGCAGAGACCGACCCCCCCTCACTACACCCTTCTTTCAGATAGTCACACCTCAGTGCTCTCAGCTGCTCTCCAGACACTCCACCAAGCACGTAGAGAAGCAAGGGTCCGGTCCAAGCTTAGGCACCCAAGCCAGCTCAACACATCCGTGTGGGTGCACCCCTTCTTGTATGTGAACCGTTGTCTCTGCAGGCTGGGCATGTCTCTGAGGGGAGACACTCTCCGGCTGTGTCTTTGTTCAGAGAACTCGGAGCCATGCTGAGCGGAGGAAGCTTTCGTACCTTAGAAGTGATCCCCAGACAGGCACACAGCTCCAGCTCGATGACTGAGAGCTGTTAGTGAGACAGCCCCTTCCCAAGACACCTCTCCTGCTTTCCTCAGAAAACATTTACGACTCCTGATAATCCAACCCAAAAAGGTACCCGGCGCTGTAGCTGCTTAGGCACAGCTCTAGATTTGCCGTTGGACAAAACTGTTCTGCTGACCTGCAAATTCCCTCTTTCTGGAATTACCATTTCCTGCGACAAATACCCAGTGTTTCATTTTCCAGATGACTTCCATCAACGCTCTTCAGCCCGGCTTTCTAACGCTCTGTGATTTTTCTGTCCCTTAAGACCCGTGGCCCTTCCAACATCTGCCAGTTGCTACAGGAAGACTCCACTGAGCATCACGAAGGACCACGGGTCTCTCAGCAACGCCAGCCAGCTGACTCCACTGTTATCAGCACCGCATAAACACCCTGAGCTCTTATTTCTCCATCTGCGTACTAGGACGTCAGCACACAAACATGTTACCACAGGCCAAGCTAAAGCATGAACATAAAAGGCACCGGTTGCCCTACAGCGGTTGTCTAAGCATGTCCTCTCACCCCAGTTAACTCCAGGTTACGTCTAAGCATGGACCGGAAGGTCTGGAACAGAGTCGGCTGGGGAGCCCACCCTGTGAGCTCTCTCAGAGCAGTTGGAACAGGTCTCCCTCGGGGAGGAGTTAAGCGGAGCTGATCCAACCTTACACCAGGGCAATATCCTAGATGACCTTTTTTCTGTGGGGCAAAATCATTCATGTTGGCAGTTCCCATGCAGCTCCCACCACACGGAGAGTTTATCCCTTGATTTACTCTATAGTAACTCCACCACGTGCCCACGAATGTTTAAATAACTCACATGAAGTGAAGGAATTCCAGGCTACCAACTGATTTCGATACAAAATATTCCTCTGCACCCGCTCCTCAGTTACCCACTTGAGAGCTATACTGAGTGGTCCGGGGTTGTGGCCCAGAAGATTGTATTTAGAATCAGAGAATCGCAGAATTGTCTGGGTTGGAAGGGACCTTTAAGACCATCGAGTCCACCCGTTACCCCAGCCCTGCCCAGCCCACCACTAACCCACGTCCCTCAGCACCGCGGCTACGCGACTTTTAAATCCCCCCAGGGACGGCGACTCCACCACTGCCCTGGGCAGCCTGTGCCACTGCTTCACAACCCTTTCCGGGAAGAAATTTTCTCCAAATATCCATCTTAAACCTCCCCTGGCGCAACCTGAGACCAGGTTTCCTCTTGTCCTAAATTTAATATGCCTATCCAAACTTGCACACCCGTTCCCTGAGGTGAAGCCTTGACCCAAAGATGAATATTAACTTCACCTCAAACATAACCCATGCTCCAAGCACGTTCCGCACGAAAACTCCTCAGAAGGAATGTCAGCCTGTACATCCCCAAGCAGCACGTCCTAAAAGTGTTTTGCATTAAAGCTGCCTTCTCTTTTGCTGCAGGATAGCTCTCCTGCTTGGGAACGCAAAGTCGGGGCTCCCCATCCACTGGTACCAGGTTCAGACACCATCAAGCCAGTGGGAAGCACAAACTCGATCCGTAAGGCCCGAGCACAGCGCTGTGCTTGCCTAAAGAGAAACCCAAGACAACGCCTATGACAGTTTTAGGTCAGCTGAAGGAGGAAGGAGCCTCTTCAGCGGACAGAACCTGAAAATTTTGTGAACAAATATTAACTATCAGACTGAGGTTTGTTCCAGTCCTTTCACGGCTTACATTATAAGGTTGCAACATTTAATATAGTATCAAAAATGCTCTAAATGCAATTCACTGTCCCGGAAATCTCAGCTGAAATCCATTACTGACCTGTACTTGGATCTGTAGAGATTTCTTCTTTCTCCGAGTCTTGTCGTTCAGGGCAGCGTGGCTCCTCCTCTTGTTTAATCCACGATAAAACATTGGTTGCGTAAGTCTGAAATCCTGCTCATTGGGGAGAATTTACACAATTGAGAAACACTGGAGAAAGATGCAAAGCACAGAAGATTCGGGTACTCACAAAGATCAGAAAAGTGCTAACAAAGCCTCAGGAAAGCCACATGACATGAAGAGCCACCTGAGGGGTAATTCCTGCAGTGGGAGTTTTTGCCAGGGAATCCTCACCTGCGTCAGGGTCTCTCGGGAGGTCCTCGCCCTCCGCGCCTGGCAGCTCCCTGGCATACGCCTCCTTGCCTTTCTTGGTCTGACTCGAAGCCTCAGGCTCATAAAACGCTTGCTCTGCTAAAGGAGAAAATTCAAGACAAGCATAATCACAAGAGCGTAAGCTCAGGATTTCACAAGGGTGAAACTTGCTCTTGTTTGCATTTTTGTTTTCTCCTAAGCCAAGCTCCCACAAGCCCAGCCTCTAAATGAAACCCGACGGAAAGGTCTAAAAATCCCAGTTTGCTGCATATGCTGGGAGCCAAGCAAAATGACAGTGGAGCCAACAGACAGAGCTGCTACTTTTTGTAAAGAGTAAGGACAGCCAAGCTCCAAAGCAGAAGAGTTTATTTGTAATGCAAAGAGGTACCACCAAGTGAGAAGGCAAGAAAGAGGTCTCCGGGCTGCGCAGCGTCCTTGTACAGAGACAGCACTACCAAGGAGTTGGTGCACTCACTCGTGCACGCAGAAAAACCACAGAGGAGAAAGGAGGAGGGAAAAGGCAACCTGGAGCCTCTGGCTGCGCAGGAGGAGAGGCACAGCAGCCCTGAAAGAGAAGGCTGCAGGGGACGCGGAGCTGAGGAGGTGCCACAGCTCCGATCCCCCTGGAGCCAGAGCAGCCCGCACAGTCCTGCCTCCACGCCGTCGCTGCCCTGTGCAACAGATGGCACCAACCACAGACCTCATTCTGGCACTGATTTTTGCCTTCTCCAAGTTAACGCATTGGCCTCAAAAAGTGACTAACAGCCCACTTTGCACTAGATTATTTAACCAGCTTAGAGCTATCAACTTGAGGGAAGCAAAATAAGGAATTTAAGGGAGAATGAAACATTTTCTATACCACACTGCCCTGCTTGGATGAAAACCAGCCACAAACTCTGCAAACTCCAAAATGGCTGTGAGAAGGGAAAGATGAAATACCAGCCCTTACCCGTCAGGACTGGTGGAGAGTCTGTTCAAAACTTGTGAGCTTTTTATAAAAGATTCGGAATACTTGAGAAGAGGGGAAAAAAAACCACCAAAACCAACAAACCCAACCAACCAACCCTTGAATTTTAATCCCTCTGTTTCATTTTCCCTCCAAGGTACGCAGTTACTCACCCGGGCAGGGCTCTTCAGGAGCTTCCCCAGCCTCCTCCTCCTGCTGCTCTGCAGTGCACAACTCTTCCTCTTGCTTAATATGGATTATGCTGTCTTCTGTTAATAGGAAACAATGCTATTTTAATTCCACACACAAAATTAATTCCAATTCTTATCCCATCCCAGGCACAGCAGCTCCGTTCTAGGTCACATTCTAGAGAAAACCTCAATTCAGTTCTAGTTCTCGCTGACCAAGGCCTCTTAAAACAGACCTAAAATACTTGTCACAAAAACCTCAGCAGATGTTTGCGCTTCAGAAACACAAATGTTTCATGCAAGAGTAACGTCCGTTTTGTTCTGGCGCCCGTTAGCAAATGAAACCAAGTTCTACATGGCCCCAGGAGAGGACGGTGCCACTTGAATGCTCGTTCTCGAGTTTTGTTTGTCTTTTGGCTCTGCCAGTTATGCCATCCCCTTTTCAGCTGCTTCTTGGTAAAACGCGCACCTCTTCTCACCCGTCAGAAAAGCACTAGTGAGAATTATGGGTGAAACTTATCAAAAAAAGAAAAAAAGAGTCTATGAAATAAATATGGAAAAACAGATGGGCTGATGCTCTGCGCATTACCTTTATAGCTCTGTAACACAATCAATGAATTAAGAGGAATACTTTGTGCGCATGTAAAAACAACCAAATTGTGTACGTTTGTGCACAGAGAAGAGAAACTCCTCTTGACAGCCAACCTTCAGGCTGGGAAACCGACCCTCACCCCGCTTCGGCTGGCCAGGCAGACGCGGCCAAACGGCGAGGGGGACTGCGGGTTCGGCACAGGCAACTGCAGGCGGCTCGGACACCGGGAGAGGAGAAAAAAAAAAAAAAAAAGGGGGTTTGGTTTAGGGTTGGGGGAAGACTG